TCGGAATATTGATCAATGATGTGATTTTCATAAAAGTGGAGACCACTCGTTTTTAATAGATCAACGGGATTCGTGAAAAATAATAATCGTCAATTGTGCATGTACATCGTGGAACATTCCGCTGTCACGCGATTATTTTGATTGATTCCGCAATAATTATATGTATGCATTCCGTCTCTCGGGCGTGCAAATCTACGGAAACCACAGAGGGAAATCTTATTAAGGAGGGTACGGAGGAGAGAGTCGACGGTTTGAATCGGTGCTCGTTCTAACTCCCGCAATCTCTGCGCCTGAACAATTCGTAATAGCGCGAAAACGCTATTAAATGTTGCGCGAAACGGAAATTGAGTTCCGGATACGCGTGCGTGGGTGCATATTTATGTGCGTATACGTTTCTATCGCGTATGTACGGAGGGTGACGATTTTGTACGGAGATTTTTTTTTCCATACGTCGCCTAAAAAGGTAAAAGCGACCAACCAAGACGACGGCTCCTCTAATAATGTATAATGCACTTTAGGTCCGTTCTCTCTTAAGCTTTATAAAAATTTCCCGTCTATTATATAATACGCGTACGTCGACTCTTTCGTAAAAGGGAGAACTCTTATTATGTCGATTGTCAATGCTGCACTTTCTATTCGAGAGAGAAGAGGATTTCTTTCTTTTTTTTTTTTTTTTTTTTTTTTTTAATACGAACCGAGTCTTGATTTAGCAATTAGCGATTAGGACGCGAGTGTGTACCTTTGTATAAGTCAATGACGATGCGATTGCGTCTTATCTTAGGTCCTGCGCATTGGGGATGATTTCGCGCAACGAGAAGTGCATCCTCGAATTATTATTATTTTTTATGAACAAATCTAACGATATTATAGATTGTCGTTTTATTTATAAATTTTCCATCAATGTGACATCAATTCGTCCCTAAGAGTATTTTGGACATATCAATATTTTAACAATCTCTTAATTCGTATGACATTAGAGAAATTTTATGAAAGGAATCTTATGTCAAGATTTTATTTCGTTTATGAAATCTTCAACGTCATCTCCAGATAAAAATAACATTTGCAATTTTGGGAAATTCATATATATATATATATATATATATATATATATATATATATATATATAAAATGAATGATGTGTCGAGAAATAATTATTTACAAAGGTCTTTGTTGAAAAATTATAACGCGCAATCGATTCCATCTCATCGCCAGTGGACACAAGACCGCATTTATAAACTGGTAAACAGATTCGCTACACACATAGAATTTATATTAATATTATTAACATGTTTTTTATATATATATATATATATCGTATTATTATGAATATCTTTTTCTTCTTCTTTTAAAATTGACTTAATCAGTGTTATGATAGTTGCGATTGAAGCACGTAGAGAGTAAAAGTTCGCGAAGCGGAAAAAGGACCTTCGCCTCTTACGCGTCATGGAAGGAGCCGAGAGAGATGATATGTACCTAATCTAATATAAATATATATGTATATATGCGAGAGCGCGTGTTTTTTGTCTCGACGACGTGGACAGCGTTCTCCGATCTGCATTGATCCGCGAATCGAGCGTCCTGTTATTGAATTTTCCGCTCTTCTTCCACAAAGCACCGCCGACAAAATTACTCGCGACTCGATTTCCGTAAGGAGAGTTCGTCCTTATTCTACAAAGATATATATATATATAATATATTATATAATATATATCTGTAATTTCTGTATCTACATAATTTATCTAGAAAGGGAAATCGATCGATGATCGGTGGATTTGATATTTCGACGAGAAGTATCGCGGGCGGAGAAGCAAAAAGACGAGAGAACGCGATCGCGCGGATCAGAGAAAGAGAGAAAGCGTTTTTTTTTCCTAATAAAAACACACAATTGGTCGAACGCTATATCACTATTAATAGACGCTAGTCTCTGTAGAGATGAATATACGCGATTCGAGCGATAGTAGGCGCGTACACCCTTGTCTTACGATCAGTATAGTCCGTTTTAGACGCGACACACGAAAATGCGATGCTGCTATTATATCTGTTTTACACGAGAGAGACCTTATCTATGTATCTCGCCGGCGGAGAATAAGCAAAGGATGAGATTCGCGTGCTTTCGCGAAAAAATCTTTGCGTTGGAGCGACATATTAGTAACACATTGTGGTCCGCTTATCGTTGTTCTTTGACTAATATGAAAGAGAGATGGGGGATTCTACTTCTTTTTAGCGCGTACTCTTTCCCTTAATGTAAAACCAATTTTAATGTCAATTAAGTTCGAGACTATCAATTAATTTTGATAGAAACGGTTCGTTTTATTTATTTTACGATTAGTTAAAATTAGTATTATTAATCAAGATTTGGTACTAAGTTTTCATTATAATATTGATACTATCGATCCATCGACTAGTTTTAATAGGAGCAATTAATTTTGGTAACATTAATTTTAATACTACTACTAATCTGAGATTAGCATCGTCCATTAAGTTTGATCTTAATTAGGTCAATACTATCCATTAATCATGATATCAACAGACAATTTTCGCCCGATGATGTCAAACAATATCATTTTTTTACTCCACTAACTGACCGTTGTTCTTTTATTTCACAGTTTCCCCACTAGATTGCATTTATATATAAACTAATTACTGAATAACTACACAATGAACAATAGATCGCAATGGTAGCGTACAGTAATTTAAGAATTTCTAGATCATTGCACGCTCTTGACTAGTCCAAAGTTGCTTGGATCCTTTTAATTCGGCATTTAGAACGAACATTCATATTTTTTTTTTTTACAATTAAGATAATATCTAATACTCTAGATACGAAATATTGTTTTGTAGAAGTCGTACAGGGAACGCAAAATGTTTTTGGGCAACGCCACATTTTTAAGTGCGAAAATCATAAAGTTAATCATCTATCATCACAATTCGCGAAATAAGCTTTTTTTAAACTGTGATTAATCTTAATGCATTTTTGTGTAATATCTCTCTACAAACCTTTCAAGACTTTAAATATATCTCGATCTTTTAAGAGATTTCGGTAAAACGTCTAAATATCTGTGTGTTGCTATCATTTTCATAAAATTATTTATTATAATTCTATGTAAATTATTTAAGTTCCTGCATACACACATACACGCACATACCCCATTTCTTTACGAAACTCGTGCAATACGCAGACTTCACGGATGCATTTTATTCATTAAAGCACTCTGCAGTAGAGTCCACTTCAATTAACAAATTTTTTCCGAATCAACGTCAACAAATATTCCATAGCTTATGACGCATCGTGATGCAAAATTTTTAAATTAAAAAAATTGCATTCGTCCATTTTGTTGATCCAGAAAGAGAGATTAATTTATAATTTTTTTTATAAGTAATCGCGGGCGAATGGCACTGGTGGATAAATTGAAGTTTTAATTAAATCTTCATATATACTACATCTGCTCACTCTCATTTGCAACGACTAATTTTAATATTTCCGACCGATAGAAAAAAATCGACAATTTCAACGTGTTTTATAATTTTATTTACGCCGCGAAGAACTTTTTTATCCAATATTCACTAGACCAAACATATATCGATGTTCACCATTAATTATTCACAATTAATTTAAAATTATTACCACAATAATTGCCCATTAATTTGATTTATCTTATGAGACGACATATAAATAGAGAGAATGTTCTAATATTAATGCATACAGAAGATAAAATGTATCTCGAATGTTAATTTCACATTAATAAATATCTCGTAAATATGTTCCAATTTTGTAAACAAGTTATAAATTATTATATCGAAATAATTTATATATTCTAATATGCATGAATTGTAGAACTAAAAATATGAAATTATTTATTCGATAAAATTATTTAAAAACGTGAATAATAAAAATTACTTATCAGATAATTAATTTATAGATATCTTAACAATATAATACTTTATAGTTACATAATGCAGTTTATAGGGTAGTTTACAAAAAAAGCTGAATTGCACACATATTTTGATATTTTATAAGTAATCTTTTTCTCTGGCGTTTCTTAATCGTTCAGATTTCTGAATTATACTCGAAAATTCTTTATAATTGTAGTCTATATTCAATGATAAGAACACACGGAAGTAGAGTCGAAAAATGAATATTTACTCTAATTATCCAGCCAATTTTTGTAATTCAACCGTTAGTAGATTCACTTAACACAAAGCTTCTGAATCAATATGTGACGGATTTTTTTTCTATCCACTAGAAATCCGCGCGGATCACAATGTGTTCCAAGCACGACTTAAGCTGCTTAGTACGTGAGAATTTATTGTGCAACGTGCGACGCTACATGGCAAAAAGAGTACTCGTAGTTGCCCGGCAGCGCGCCATGACTAGCGACAGCAAAAATTTTCATTGGCATTTTGCGCCCTCAAATCAAGTTTGTCCCTTATATCGCACACAGCTGTTTGATCGAGTCTGTTTAGAGCCCACGGCACATCGCTCGCACGTGTCAATTGCTGGTTTCCTTGTTCGATAGAAGCTTGTAAAACTTATTTTCTGACGTGGTTTAGAAAATACGTCTTGCTAAACTTATATAAAATTGCAAACTATCTGTTACTTCAATTTATTTATGTAATTTTTGTCTTCGCGAATTTTTCTTGAAAAAAAAAATATAAAAAAATAGATTTGTAATGTATTTTACTTGTAAAAGATAGGCGCTACAGATTTCAACAAAAATTGGAAAATGTCTATTTGTTCTTAAAAAGAAACTGTGCACACGAAAAAATTGATCATTTTATTATGAGTAATAGCGAAAAGAAAGATTTTCTGATACCACTGAGGGTTGTGCAAACCACAAGACATATCTCGAAACTATCGGAAACAGGTAACGAAGCAATTACAAGTGCAATTTGCAACGTGCGTTCCAACATGTAGTGGAACATTTACAGCGGTATACACGATAGTTTGAGAGGATAAATTGACGACGAAACGTTATATATATATATATATATATATACGCGGGCTTAACTATCGTCCTCTTGCTCAGAACCACAATCATGCCTAAGTATGCATACGTGTCGTAATTCTGTGCATTACGAAGAAAGAAGCTTCAGAAATTTTCAGAAAATAAAGAAGAGAAAAACATTCTGGCAGAGAGAACTTTTCTGACAGTTGAATTCTGGGAAAAAAATTTTTGTCTATATTTTACGTAAATAATATTCGAATAAACGTATTAATCCGAATATAAATTCCGTTCAATTTGAAAATATTCTTTTGATAAAAACTTACCTCACCTTGATGCAAGACAGGATTCCCGACAGCCAAATAACCATCTGTCCATTTTCATATGACGGTTCATATAACGGTGATATCGTCATACAATAAACGTCATGTTACGGTTGCGCTACATATCCGAAACACACATCTGCCTTAAAATATGTACACGCGAACCACATTAACCCCGTTGCACATTGTGTTTCTCGCGGGCACTATTATTTCATATATACTACATAAAGATATACATATATATGTATGCATGTACGAGAAAGGAAAAAAGAAATCGAAGCCTTCGATTCGGTGGAAGGTGTCGGTACGTTTGTGAGCGTCGACGAGCACGCTGTCGATTGGATAAAACAACTGTTGTACAGTTATCAAAGTAATCCTCTTTATATCGATTAGCACGATAACAAGTAGACTTAATGTTCCTTCATATTAGATTACACAACATCCCCTATCTAATAATGATCGAAATATTATTTTCGTACAGTATATGGTCATTTTTATTATATACTACACACAAATAAAATATATCAATCATTATTACTTGAGAATTAAGGTTCATATGTTGGCCGTAATTAAAAGAATCGATTCTTCTCTATCGATTTCAGCTTAAATGTCAGTTAACTTTGACCGCGGTCTAATTCGGTTCTTAAATATCTAAAAAAAAAAAAAAAAAAAAAAGAAAAAAAAAAGAAAAGAATAATTAATCAAAATTAGATTAGCCGTATTTGTATCTAGATTTATATTTAGACGATTATGCCTTGTTCTTATTTTTATAATGCCAAATTACACGCGCTCTATTACGACTTTCTCACGGTGATTAAGATACTACATGTCGGAGGATCTAGTTACACGTGTACAAGCATCCCCGGTGAATTTCGCGACGACTAAAATGTGCGAGAAGAGATCCGCGGAGTTTGTAAGTGTAACGAGAATTTCGGAAATTGACTCCCGCGCTTTTATCGCCTTATATAACAACTTTCTCCATTTCCCTCCCATCAAGTCCTCGCGGCGTTCGTTCACTTAATCCCGCGCCGCGTGTTCAGCGGAAATCCAGCGGATTTCGCGGTAAATGCGGTGTACACATGAACCGTATACTACTACGGGAGTACTATTCCCCACATCCGTTGCACGTAACAGCTACCGTACATCCGGGTACGTATATATCGATTTCAGGGAAGGATGACGCGCGTGCTGGTCGACGACGCAACAACCACCAAAGTAGGTTCTCTCTCTCTCTGGTGGATCGATGCACCGGATATAAAATTAATGTATCTTCTCTTAAGCGATATTGCTCCCCTTTCCTCTTCCCACTATCTAACATCGACATTTTACCTCGTAATTCGCGCAATTCGTTGTCTTACCACCTCGACGCGGCGAACGGTGGACGACGATGGTGTGTGTGTGTGTGTGTATGTACCAACAACACGTCGATTTTTACGACCAAGGATCGATCCGTGCGGAGGCCTGAAATAAGTGGGACGTGCACGCGATTCGCGACGCACTCCTTCGTCGATTCTGCGACGACGGACTTCCGGAGTTTTCATCACTTCCTCTCGGATTCGCGCAAAATTCCGTTCCGCAATACGATAAGATCGCAATGGACGATTTCTCAGCCCGGTTTGCACCGACTTCAATTCAGAACTTAATCCCGGTTCATCCTCCGATGCGCTATTCATTCTTCGTCTTATTTAGTAGTTCCGCGTAATCGAATCGCGTTACGGCTAAATCTTGATGCGACTATCGCAGCGTGAGCTGATAAACGGGACTTTGTGAAGCAGTGGCATTATGTGGAATGAAATAGAAACGCAACGGAATGAAGATTAACTATAGCCGTTTGAAACAAATAACTTACGCGAGATTCAAATCACAGTGTGGCTTTGAGCTATTCTCAAATACATGTATGTATGTACAAACGGGATTAGAAAAACAAGTGTCGGGTACAATGATTCAAATGAAAGGGATTTGCGAGGCTCAAATCAGATTAAATCGTTGATGGGTTGATTTTAAGATTATTTAAATACATCTCCATCTATACCTTTTTATGTTCGCGCATAAAACTTGCTCCATTTTAAATATAATATAAATATAAAAGATACTATAGAAATGAAGTGCTTGTGTAAATATCTGCAAACATCTGTAACAATCGAGTAATTTGGAGCGGTAATTTGAAGCGAATTAATTTATGATGCGCTCGAATTATTACACCAATTCTCTATTATAACGAGACAAAAGCGCTCGCGAAAACAATAGGCGTCTAGTAAGATTTACCGCGAGATCTGATTAATTTCTAGGCGCTATACATAAATCCGGAGTAAAATTAGAATCGCGATATTAATACCTCCCAAGCTTATGCGAAGTTATATGGAACTATGATATACAAGTCCTTGTGTCACCTGGAGAGCGCATCAGAGGATTAATTTATACTCTCCGTCTGCATTATTAGACAGAAGCATAATTCGCCGGAGAAAGAGACAGCGAAACCCGTAAGTCCAGGATCGGTTAAGTCAAATTGTCAGTGCAAGCGCGAGCTTCGAAAGCCACCGGCGCGGCGGTTCTCCGTGACGACCAACATTGTCACTTTGCTCCTTCTCTCTCTCTCTCTCAGGAGAGAGAGAGAACTGAAGGTTTCACACCCTCCTGTTAATTCCACCAGCGGCGTCCGAGGAAATTGCTGAATCCGCACGACGAATCAGCGTGCGAGTCCGGGATTCGCCGTATATATAGTTGTCGACGATGTGAGTTCGCAAAATGAACACGAGGACTTTCACGAGATGCTAATTAGATCCCCCGTCGTCGGGATCCAGCGACGTCGTTCTCTGGTTCTTCGTGTATCCGCGCTACCTTTCCCCAGGACCGATTACACCACCATTGTATTACTGTCGTCCGAACGAAGGTTCTGCGCCATTTGCACTGCGCCAAATTTCCCATTCTCTTCCGAAAAGATCTCCTTCGCGATTATTATCCTCGATCATTTTTTTTTCTCCCCCAGCATTATTTATTTTATCACGGCTCGTGTCCTTCCATCGGACACGAGCGACGGGACTCGTATTATCGAACCGCCATAATAATTAGCGTACGTCATAGTTAATAGGAAATGATATCGTTCGGTACGTGTTCAATACGTGTTTGACGTGGGTGACGATGGCGTGTGTGTATATATATGCGAGTGTCGATTTCTCGGTGGTGGTCGTTCTTGTTGACGTTCGTCGAGTTTTTTTTTTTTCGGGAAAATCGTGAGGGCGTGGTGTGGTGTCTCCGTTTTTACGATCGCGCGTCGGCGGCCGCGGAAAGACGGTGGCGTCGGGATTAAGGGGCGAGCATCTTCGACAGCTCCTCGTCCTGGAGGCAGCCCTTCAGGAACTCGTCTTGCGTCAGCTGTCCGTCGTTGTTCTCGTCCATCTTTGCGAATATGTTCTTCGCTCTCTCCTCCGCGCTGTCAGCCGGTCGATTGCTCGAACACGCGCCGAGCATGTCGTATATCGCCTGGGAACAGAAGGAGAATACTTTGTTTCTCTCTACGTGATACTCCCGAGGCTCACGTAGAATCAAACGTGCCTCTCTTCTAGTTCGCATTTCCCGGAAAACCCCAGTCCACATGTTTCAACGTATTTATCAAATACAATAGAAATCTTATATAGCAATATTCTGGCTCATTGCTGCCTTCAATTTATTTAGAATGATATTTTTATTCCGAGCTAAGTATGATACGTTTTTTATCGTAAAAATTCCGTCCGTAATCAAATGTTACTTTAATGTAATAAAATAAATCGTGCGATTCATTTACGTTCTCATATAGTGTAGTGTAAATTATACGAATGACTTAGATGTAATTAGGCAGGCGTTTTATATAGATTTTAATTCTATTAAAATGCAGAATGTGGATAAAATTTTATAATACAAATTCATTTAAATGTAATAATAATATCTAAAGTCATATTGAAATAAAGAAAGTGATATACATATTTATACGTTAACAATTTAATTAATTTTTTGTTATTGGGAAAATGCAGGAAGAGACTTTAATTAAGGTTGTGCATTATGCGTTATATATAAGCATCAATAAAGTCATAAATCATGGAAGTCACTCCTGTCGCGCTTTTTCTAATGGAAGTCTATCTTAAATCCATCACGGAAAGATCGAAGGTTGCGCAACCCGAACTACGTCCTCATAAAAAAAGAACAGCATCTGATTAATGAACATTAAATGGACCGTCGAAGCGAGCATAGTTTACTTCGTTATAAATATCCCGCCAAACTGTCAAAGTTATGCATTGAATGCGTAACTATATTTATTACTCTGATCATTTTTTAAATTATATAACATATTATTTCTGTTGATAAAAATTTAGGGAGTCTACTCAAGTCTAGTTACAATCAGTAGTAGATTAATTATTCAGACAGTATAACAATTATTTCGAAATAATGTATAGTGTATTTTTATGTTACTGACTTTAAGTAAAAATTCGAGCATTAAAATTATTTGAAAATCCTAATTATTCATAACAAAAATCGATATTATTATCTCATCTATATTAGAATTTTTCGAAATAATGAGAAAATTGTTTCGAGGAAGTTTAAAGCGTTTTAATTATCGACAAAAGCAAAAAAAAATCAACTAATGAAACTAATTTAAATAAACTTCATTAAAAGAGAATTAACGATCGTAAAGTGTAAAAAGATTCTACTTACCCAATTTTCGTAAATTTATTATTACAAAATAGATAATGAATTACATACAGCTGATTCGAAAATAAGTAAATTCAAAATTAAATTATATTCGGTATACATATTTTATTTTTCTTATGTTATTATTTTTCTTATTCACGGTTGTGAGCAGAACTTGACTAACAATAAGTGATAAATTTTATACCGTTCAAAAAATAAAATTTATCACATAATCGATACTTCGAATCACTAAAGCATGCTAGTGATTCTTTATAATCTCTTTTCGTACATTTCCGATTAATCTACTGCAAATCGTTCGGACAGAGATAAATGCGTAGAATTTATTATTTTCTCACCCAACGACGTGAAATAAAGTAAATTAATTTTATCACGAACATAGTAGACCGGCTGGAAACGATCATTTAAATAGAGTTAAACCTCTTTCTTGCCTGTCCACACAGTGTATGTTTGTCTAAAGGATTAAATTGATTTTCAAACTCTATGTAGAATTAATTTGTAAGAAAACATAACAGGAAATTCAAACAAGTTGCTGTAATATAAATTTTAAATATAAATGACAATGTTTAATACAAATGACAATATTGAATACAATCAAGCTATTCCGTTATAAGCTGTTATATTGTTTTCATTTCAAAAATTATTATTTCTCTCAGAGATTATATAAACTATCTTTTTATAAATAATTGTATTTATTTCATTTTTAATCCTGTAATCCGTATGAATAGATATGTCAAAGTGCAATTGTTTATTCATAAATACCCGTTCCACAATTTAAAAAGAGTCTGAAGCAACAGTTTTAAAACAATGAATTTGCTTGTAGAGATATCAATAACAGCTACTGTTATTCCCAGAGCTTTCAAACAATAGAGTGTAGAGTCAATTGAGTTACAGGAACGCGCGTTTCACGACGTAGATGTTCACGGGTTTAAGTGTTAAATACACGAAGGCATTGAGTTTCACCGAACATCCCGTCGTTAATTTTCATTCCGCGCGGAAAAGCTTCGTTTACCGGAATTCTCGTGGCAGCTGCGTCGCGGAACTTCCAAACTTCTAATAGCACGGAGATGAGTATCTGAATGAAAGTGAGTAAACGACTCGGGCGAATAGCTTTTTAACGTTTTAGCGATAACGTATTTCAAAGCATTGAAGGAAAAGAAAAGGATCTCCCTATTATCATCTCGAACAAACTTTTTGTCGATAATTAAACCGCTTTAACTCTCCCAAAACAATTTTCTCATTATTTCGAAAACGTTTCTTAGAAAGAATCCTTATATATAGATAAGATATAGATAATGATGTTTCTGTTGTAAATAAAAATACGGGTGTGTATAGAATTCTACAGAAAAAAAGAATATATTAAAAATAAAAATAATATTTATGTTTGTCGAACATTTAAAACTTGATAACATATCATTTTAAAATTGTACAAGTAAGAATTTTTGTTTTAACATATTGATAAAAAAATTTTAGTCTTACCATTATTTTTATTATGTAATTTTTATTAAATGTTTTATTTTATTTTGTCAATTATAGTTATATTATTGCACAATAAGAATACAATTTTAACAAATAAACGAGTTTGCATAGAAAAAATAGACTTAAAACAGTCTATTAAAATGTAGAGTCAAGTGCAGTCACAATAATATTCTTTTAATTAAGATATGTTATCTCGTCCCTGCATTTTTATCATGATTTTCCATACTCTATTAGCCATACTCTATAAACCTCTTGTCTCTCTATTTATCCAGATTCACGCCTACGATAATTAATCTCTCTGATTTAATCTTTTTTATGACCTAATTTTCGGAATTTTTGTATAATAATTCCAAGTATTCTCATATAAATTTCTCATATGAAATATACCGGCAATAAAGTCGACATATTACTAGATTATCCTGCATATTTAAAACAAACTTATACTTTTGTCCATCGACTCTTTCATTTTTGCCACGATTAAAATTCTACTATAAATATTTTTCTTTCTTTTGATAATTACGTAATATAATCGCAATGAGATTAAGAGCGATTATACGAGTTGAGCTTTAAGAATAGCATTGATTTACGAGATTGACTTAATTTGTTTTGCGTTCCTCAATTTTCCGATATTCATATTTTTTGCATGATATTTATTATATCGCTGCTTAGGCAGCGTCGTGAATATTAGCATCACAAAAGTTCACGTTGCGTTGTTTACATTATATATAAAAAAATCGATTTTCCACGCGCGGAAAGTGCGGATCGCAATATCTTACCTCGAAAATTCATTATGCAAGAGTTGCAAAAAAAAAAAGGGGGGTAGAAAAAAGTCTGCGCGCTTGTGTCGTGTCACCGCGATTACACACAAACTTTAATTCCTTCTTTAAAAAATGACGCGCAACAGCTGTATTTAACGAAGCTTCGCTTCTGACATTTCTGAGAAATGCACGACATGTCAAGTGGAACAGCCGCGCGACTACGCCGACATCTGTTCTCGCTAGGAGGGTCATGAAATATTAGCGCGCCAGTATTCGCTGTATACGCCACTCAATGCGCGTAGTAAGAACTCTGCAGGGATGCACCGAATATGGACGAGGGAGAGAGCCAGTCTTGATTTATAATCCTTCCAGACGCGCGTTAATTAATCGTACGAATCGACTTGTTCGACCGAATTCAGAATTTAGAGTTCCTTGAGAATACTTGTGCCTGTCGCGTTTTACATCGGCGAATAATTAGAGAAATTTAATTCCACCAAGAGATTCGTAACACGAATTCGTATCGCGTAACATTTCTTTTTAACACATATACATTGCAAATTTTTTATTAACCAGAGAGAAATGTAACAAAATTATACGCATCGTGCAGTGAAACACGAACTTGTAGACACGACACGAAAAGAAAAAAGGAATCGTGTCGCATATATGAATAAATTATACATGAATATTATATCGAATGGCTCACTCTCTTCTCATTGATTAATCGTGCTGGCAGTACTGACGTCAAGTGATAAAAAAATTCTGTATTCCATCGAAAGAGTCGCGGTCGAGTGCAACCAAGTGGAGATAAATCGAAGCGCATGCATTATACATGAAGCACAATACCTGGACGATCTTCGTCATTTCTTGCATATCGATAACGCCGTTCCCGTCAACGTCGTACATACGGAACGCCCATTTCAGCTTTTCTTCCGGTGTGCCGCTGGACGTTACGTCGATCGCCAATAGGAATTCCTGCAACAAATGCCGACGATATCCCATATCAGTAACAATATCGCAATATCGAAACTTTTATTTTCCCCGCTACAAAGGGGCATCCCTCTCTCCTTTGTGCGAAATGAAAATCTATATTTCCCAAGATGTATTTATAGCCAGCGTTGAAAAGAGGGCCAGGTCAGTCATAATTCAAGAACCCCAGCCGAAATCCCCGAGAAAAATAATATCTCGTTTGAAATACAATAAACTTTTTCAGCACACAACAAAATCGGCTAAAATATCAAATAATCTTAACAAAAAAGCCGAGAATCATTAAACGTTAAAATTAAAATCACGTATTTCGAACAAATAATAAAATAAATTTCCTATAAGAGGAGAAGAAAAAGAGCGCGCGATGAACACATCTCTTTGTTACATTCGATAATTCCGTATATTGAATGGAATTTAATTTCGCCGCATCGGCGTTTAAAAAGAGCTTTTGATATTACATTGAAGAATCTTTCCATAATAAAATCTTAAGCAGTAATAAAATCTATCTCGTCAACAAGCTGTCTCGTTATCTTCCAAAGATACGCTATTAATCATCTTATTTCGCCGTCATCGACGGACACATCGTGTAGAAGTTATACGGCTCGTTTTACGAGCTCTTCAGCTTCTCCGGGTTGCGCATTCACGAACGAAATCGCGTAAGCGTAAAAGCTCGCGTTCGTGATTCGGCACAATGGCGGTAGTGATCGCGCGTCAAGCGAATTTGTCGGGTATCCTCGCCTCGGGCAGATATACCTTTCGAGCAGCGCCCAGTCGTTAGAGAGCAGTACGTTCCAGGCAGAACTGGGTCACCTGCCGCCCGAGGTAGACAAACGAGACGAGGGCTTCACACAGAATGGAGAATACAGCTGACGATGGAGGGCGAGAGCTGGGCTCGTTGCTCCTCCTGACCTCTCAAGTGTCACGCCACTTCTCGTATTGACTTCAGCGTGTGAAGGAAAAAAAAGAGAGAGAGAGAGAGAGAGAGAGAGAGAGAGAGAGAGAGAGAGAGAGAGAGAGAGAGAGAAGAGAGAGAGAGAGAGAGAGAGAAAAGAAGGCGTATACATAGAGAGCTTTCTCTCCTCTAACTAGCCTTCGGCTCGCACGTATTTTAGATGCAGCTTACCTGCAAAGCTCGCGCAAAGGAGTTCAAGAAGAACTCTGGCATTACGAGAGAAACGGCGACTCGTGCCGAGGAAAGAAAACATCTTTGTGATGCCATTAACCGACCTTACGGACACTATGCTTGTGAAAATGTTACGTGAATGTGTGAGAGTAGAGAGTGGGTTTTCTAAGAGTGAGATTTTTCCGAATGGACGGTCATGTTGATTGCATCAAACGATTATGCCAGATTATCGTTATTCGATAAAATATAATAACATTATTTTATACTTGAATAAATATAATCTTTAAAGATCTTGAATTTAACCTTGCATATTTGACGATAAAAAGAATTATTCTCTAGATTCATCAATGTATGATTTAAAAATATTTAAATATGTATATTCGATAATATGATATTTTAGATAATTTATCGCTAAATATATTTCGTATAAATGATTTATGTTTGCAATCAGAATATCACAAAGCGCTCTTTCTATGAACGGTCAACTAAACAATTTAAATCTTTGAAAAATTGATAACAACAATTTCCGCATCTATAGTCAGACAATAGCAATTTCCGCATTTATAGAACCACATTTAATTATAGTGTATACGATATACTTAATTCAGTTTCAGACAGACCGCGCAATATAGAGATGGGAAAAGACATATGGAACTGGTCGCGAGTCTCTACGTCGTTTATGTTAATAAATGGTTGACTGTTATATGTATGTATAGAAGAAGTCGAGAGAAAGGAAAAGAGACATAGAACTTGTGCAATTTTCTCAATCGTTAAATTAGATCATGTTACACATTTCAATTTACATATTAATTTTATCGTCGCTCAAAGTTTGTAACAAGTTTAATGATTTAATATTTTAATTTTATTCTATTTTATTATTATTATATAAAAATATTAAACTCATACAAATGTTTATTATTCTCTCTTTCTCTTCTGGAATAAGAATTGAGTTCTAAATATCTTTGCTTGTTCAATATCTCTTTTGATTCGTTAAAGAGAAAAAAAAATAATTATGTTATATAAAATATCTCACATTAGCATCGCATAAACTTGTAATCATATATTCTATAACAAATATGAATTTTTTTTGTGAAATGAGACAGAATTAAGCAAAACATCAATATAGTTTTCAAATAAAAAAAATTATGAATGTAAATTAAACAAATAAGTGAAAATTGTAAATGTAGCAAAATATTATAGATAAATATTTTCAGTAGATTTTCCTTTAGATTTGCAATTTCAGATTTAATGCTAAGTCGCTTAATATTAAAAAATAAAACGCTTTTAAAAAGCTTCCTACTTATGTTTTTACTTATGTATAAAAATTTGTCCAAGTGTAATATGAAAAATTTAAGATATTTTCGCTTGTTTGATTAAAAGCAATCTGGAGCACAAGTATTTGGTGGTTATTTAATTAAGATAAAATGTTTTCTTGGCTTCGAGTGTCTTACTATCTTGAAAACAAGTCACCCAAGAGGGAAGTCCCAAAGTCGATATTATTTTCTAAATGCAACTGTCAGAAGCAAGTAGTGCACATACATATTTACGTCAAACAAAAGCGACAGCACGCAAAATTTGAAAAAATATACAAATTCTCCTGCAGACCTATTATGTAATTTTTTCTATCGTAATTTTAATTTTAAAATCACTGATTTGAGTCATATTTCGATTTATAATGATTGCATCTAAATTGTATTGAACGCATATTCATTAATTGGGTTGCACAACATGTTGATAAAGTCATGGTTAATAATGTATAATCCGTTTAATGGATGATTTATTTCTTTTAGCAACTCTCGTACATCATGTTGTATAATTATATCGTAATTATAATTATACAAAAATTTATATTACACCTAATTATATATAAAGCATTAAAAAAATAATGTAAAAATCTTATACACATAATTTAAAAAACAAATCTACTGCTACATGGCAAGTATGATGTTTAATTTCCAACGCATCTATTATTCTTGTATTGTTATTCTTATAAATTATATAAGTGATGATTCGTACTAATGTATTTTTGACGTTCTCATTAATGTTTCAAAGCCTTGCGTTTTGAAATGTTAAAACACGACTGTTAAAAATTTCAACTCCATTTGTTATACAAAAAAAAAACATTCGGTACAAGTAAGACACACGTTCCAAAGTGAGCTATGCAACTTCAAAAATATTAAGAAACGCGATTCATTCAAACGTTAAAAATGGACTTTCAAAATGGCATTTTGGTGCTGCTTGATGGACATTAATGGAAATGTAACCACTGAAGAAGAGCGATCGGGCGCCTTTTAAGAAAAAGGAAAAGGTCAAGTCTGTTCGTGACTTAAGGTCCGACAGAAAAGTCCAGAAAAGCTTTCTAAAAACGTATACCTTTTTCTTGCATTATTTATATGATGTACATTTTTCTCTACTGTAACGCTTAGTTTTACGTCTAAATCTCATAAAGAAAAAATAGTTAAATAAAAATTGTTTAATATTATTTCAACTAACACAAAAATAAAAAAATATTTTGAATTTTACATTTACGGTATACCTTGTAATTTGATAACTTATATTGATTTCTTCGATTATGCAAGAATAAAAGTAATATTTAAAAAATTACTTTTGAAAAATATAACGCAATTTGAAAATAATATCTAAAAGAATAACACAATAACAATGTAATCATTCTTTACTTGTTTTTGCAATAATCTCCATTTTAATTAATTTTGAAACTTGTGTAAAAGTTATGAAACAATAGAGAGCAAATGGACGTATTGGAAGGATAATTAATTTTAGTCCGACAAAATTACAAAGGTATCAGGATATCGGGATGAAATAAATGCAGAATATTATTTTTATAAAAGGGAAGTAATGTATATCATATAAAAAACCACAGATATTTTCGAGATATCCTTTCCAAATTAACTTCCGTAGTAAGTTTTTAGTGAGAAAAATTCCAACCCCCAAACGATGCGTTCGAGTGCAACAATGCAATTACACGGTACGTTGCACAAAAAGTTTATCTCTGTGAAATTAGAAGCCTCATTTTTAAAATTTTAAACACGCTATTATTAGTGTCAATAAGAGATAATTTACAATATTAGTTTAACATTTTTTTATCTTATAATTATTTATTTTTCTGTATAAATTATTATATTTGAAAGAGATTTAAATTCTATATCTTTTCATTTAAAATATTATATTCGTAAATATAAAAAATTCTTATAATATTAAGAAACGGAAAATACCATCTCTCGAATACATGCTATATGTGAAATACTACGCATATATTTAATATCGTACGAGTAGCTTTCGACGGAAATACAGAGGATACCATTTAAACTCGAATGCATGCTCCAAAGGAAAAGGGAAATATATATATCAATGTCCTGAAACTAAAGAATATTTGTCGTATCTACTAGTAGTACATTTGGATATAGGGTCGACTAAGTGAATGCAAAGCACTTTTTTACGGGACAGGATGCTTTCGATTCCCGAGATTTCAGATACTGTTTGAAGAGGGCGATAAATATATATGGAGCTCAAGTCCTTCGTGAGTAAGGAAAGTAGCAAGAATATCAAGAGATAGCTGACTTTCTCGCCCATCATTTATCATGATATTCTGCCAGAAATGTTCGGAAAATGAAGTTTAATCTATCAGTGCATAGTTCTGTAGTTCTAAACCTCTAATAGCTTTTTAATGTGCTAGCGTTCGAATTAATTCATTGTTCTTTCTACACAAATTGGATAAGTTTAATATATAACTATATATAATTAAATATAAAACTTTTACCATTAAAAATTATATATCTTGATAGGAATTACCAGCAGTACACAAGTACATTCTCCATTCACATTATCTCAAATTTAATAAAAAATATATTGACACGTAATCTACATAAAAATTTTAAACTGCACATATTTCTGATCAAATAATTAAAAAATCTTCCAGAATCATTTAAATAAGAAATTATGTGCTCATTTATTCATAGCTCTTCTATGTATGTGTGTAATTTGGATTTCATTTTAAAACTACAAATTCTAAAATAATAGAGAGTATGTGCTATAAAGCGTGAAAATAAAATACATAAATGAAAAAATATTAATTTTCTATTCGTAAAATAATATTAAAAGAAAGTAACTTTAGGGATTTCAAGTTACTTGAAACAATAAAGGAAGATCAAGTATAATATTTGAGCAAATGGGAAATTAGATTTTGTCTCTAATTCGCCAAGATCAATTGGATAACGTCAACATAGTCGTGCAATATTTTCTCGCCCAGGGGAAGACACGTTTTTCCCATAAATTCCATTGCTTATTATTGCGGCTATTATTATGAACCCGGCGACGTCTTGTGAAAGATGTCATATCCAGGAAAGTTTTCTCCATACAACCGATATCACAAGGGTTAAAGGGTTTGTTCGGATTTTCTCTCCGAAGAAAAACGGGTGACACGTAACTGATATTATTATATCTGAAGCGGAGACGCGATGGGGGATAACGTCTATAAAAGGAAACGCGAGGTTTTTGTGCGGATTATTATAGACTACCGCATTCGTGTTGATTACGACGACGAGAGAATCGAATGAAAATTACTCACTTGTACCTGGCCCGGTAGCTTATCTTATCAGGAAAGCTTACGTAATACATATTTTCAATCATTTCACAAATGTGTCTTGGCGGAAAATATTGATAGCGACACAATAGAATCGCGAGAGAAGTCAAACCATTTACATCGCAAGTTTTATTCATAAACCGCGAGATGAGTGTCGGGATAATAGGCGTTTAAAGGTTACAACAGTGCATTATATATAAAGAGAAAGAGAGAGAGAGAGAGAGAGAGAGAGAGAGAGAGAGAGAGAGAGAGAGAGAGAGAGAACTTCGGCACGCCGGGAAAATTACAATGAAGCCCTCGCATCGGTGAGAGCTTTGTTGAAACTTTCCCGTCTCACGGAAGCATGAAATTTCTTAACTATCGCGCAACCGTGTAAGATACAGCTCGCGAAGTAGATTGTGTCTGCATTTGGCTCGCATCTATTTAATGTCGGTCATTGATGAGATTAACTTGAATATATTAGTACCGTCCTCGATATTGTCCTCGATATCTTAAATCTGTTTGAAACAATTGTTGTAATTTTTTTTTCATCGCGTATTTTATTCGGACAAAACATTTTTAATGAAAGAATTTATAAAGCCGACTTTTCTTCTTTATTTAAAATGTTTGCTAAACAAGCAAGACAATTTAATACCATAAATTGTATGATTTTCGTAAGCGTGAGGAATATGTAAATAGATAAAAACTTTGCAAACAATAACATGTTATATATTTTCATAGACAACACACTTAATTATCCGGATTAAAATTTCAAGTAAATTTCACTTTTTGTGCAAAATTATAAATTGAGATTACATTAAATTTAAATATCACAATATTTACACGGAGAAGTAAAATAACGATTCTTCATAAAATTTTCGTTAATAAAATATTAAAAGGCGCAAAAATTATTAATCGCATTATTCAAGTGTAAAATTGTAAAATTGATTGTTATGTTAAATATTTATATTTTGTAGAATTCACTTTTTTGCTAATAATTCTTAAATTAATCAAATGAAGTCCTCTATACACTCATATATTTACGAATTGAACACAAATTATTTCTAAGAAATGTAAAAAATTATGATGGGGCATTCGTTCCCCGGCAGCTCTTTCATAATTAATTATATAAGGACTGCATCGAAAACGATTATATCGAGATGAAAGATTTCACAGCAAAGGGGATGAACTTTGACTTCAAGAAGACAAGGTCGCGATAATCCTTAACACGACGACGGTGGCTGCAAAGTCGTGCATTGGGCGCGTCGAAGGATGCCTCTCTGAGGCGAATCGTATACATCTCCGTCTAAGATCAGTGATGCGACGCAAAATCACCTCGCAAAGCGCGACGTTAGACAAAGCACCGAGTTTTACTCGGCAATATTCGAGTCGGATGTCAAATAGCTGGTCGCCGTCTGTCAGCGAACACGACGCGTTGTAATCTTTGGCGAACCATATTAAATTACCACCGAATATATATCCGAGGAACCGACCGAGAATATCCGCTGGCTACGCTTACAAACAGAAATCGAAGCGACATTCTGAGAAGTCTCTCCCTTTCGGAGAATTTCGAGAGTTTCGTGTAGAATCTTGCGATTCTATGTGAATGAGGCGGGACTACTAATCTAAGGAAGATGATGCTAATTGCACTTAATATACCCAACTAACGACTCGAACTCGGATAATCAAGAATATAAATTTCCAATTACGGGCAAACCGAGCGTAGAAAAGAATGTACGATCTAAGAGTCTCGAAAAGATTTACGTCATCGCATTTATCGAGCGAATATAATCGGATGTAATGCCGTTCGTTCTTTCGCACTTCCGTGCCAAGATGATAATCCCGTATTTCACCGCATTACACGTTCTTCTTTTATATATATATATATACTGTTCGGCAATTCTGTTTTCTCTCACGACATATACTACACTTTCGATAAATTTTTCCAATATTCTTTCGCATTTTCTCCCTGATAGATATATCTAAATTCTATACCAAGTGATATTTCCACATTGTAGAAGCACAATCTTAACGAAAAGTATTGTAGCGTCTAATGCGTTCCTTCGAACCAATCAACCGCGTCAATTTTCTCGCCGACGATCGTGTTTAATCACGTGGAATGATCGACACGTGACGAGTAAGGTCGCGCGACGTATCTTTGGAAAATCTGTCGAAAGCGCTAGGAGATAGAGTCATTACACGGCTCATTTTACAGCAATCTGCGCAATTTCGGGGAAGCTGTAAGAAACTCTCAGAGAACTCACCTTAAAATCGATGTAGCCATTCTTATCCATGTCGAATGTGCGGAAAACATGATCGCAGAATTCCTCCGCGTTGCCGGACGGGAAGAACATTTTGTACATGTCGACGAATTTCGCCGGCGTTAACCTGCCGTTAGGACAGTCTTGCTGTAACATTAAAAAAAACGCAAGATTGTAAATTCTCGAGTTATGTTTTAAAAAATAAGCGCAAATATTTATACACACAAAAAGATTTCGCCCAAAATAACAAATAGAAAATATTAGAATTAAGAATATAGCGTTCTACAGAAAATTAATGTAAATTTCATTATATATAAAAAATATAATTTCGTCTCTCGAAGTAAAAATAACGTCAGATCTAACTAAAATTGCGTCAGATCTAAATTTTACACTTTGATTAAAATGTAACTTTCACTCCTCCCGATCGATTTTCCGGGAGAGGATTTAGATATAAGTGATATAATTTTAGTTATATATGCGTATTTTTACTTCGAGAAACGAAGATTTAATACATATTCTTTTACATTTAACAATCTTACATTAAATTTATATTATATTATAAAATGATATTCTTATCTACCTTGTTGACTAAGAGGGAGATTTTGAAAAAAAATGACGTCGTTTCGTTTCAATTTCTTTTAGTAGCAGATTATTTATTAGTCCTAACGTAGTGTCGTTTGTCTCGACATTTTAAAAACGAGCGGACAGTGTCTGTTCCTGCGATATTTCTCAATCCTCCGCAATCGCGTTTCTGAGATCGATAGACGTTGGCGGCAATCGGGCTCCATTTATTTCAATCCGAGTTGAGTTACAAAGTCGATTCATCGCGTATTGCACGAAACGGCGAAACTGGAAACGCGACCGGGTTGCGAAGCGTCCGCTAACGACTCCGTAGTTTAATTAGACAGTTTCGGACGCCACGCTTCACGGATTGCAGCTTCACGCCCGTTTAAATTGCCTGAGAAAGTACGTGCACAACTTTTCCGCGGCATTAGCAGCTTCCGCGAGAACGTCACGTTCTATTCATCCGCGCTGCATCTCGCGCGAATCAGTTTCTGCTCGTGAGCTTTGTAATCGAGATTGATTTATCTCGTAGAGAAGCTCGTCTAAAATCCTATTCGCGAGACTTCCTAACGTGTTTTCGACATAAAAGCACTTAACCGATGTTTGAAAATTTCTTGAAACACATGTTATATCACATAATGTATGCATGAGATAATATATATGTTAAAGAGATAATACTCTAATTAAATCTAATGTCATCAAATTTATTATGTATACAATATATCTCCATTTAATGAAAATATATGAATATTTAGAGCAGATTATATAGATGTATAATATTCATTGCGAAAATTTAACTGAACAAGTTACGTTTGAATAGAACGTGTCAAATATTTGATAAATAAATTAATAATTGCAGTACAAAATACATTAAGTACTGTATGAAGTTAGCTTTCAAAATTATTTCACACGGTTGATTCTCGACGCACATTATGTCACAATATACTAGTGATATAACATCAATTATTTTCACGCGAATCTTTAATTATTATTAATAACAGAAAGAAGCTTGTGAGATATTAACTAAATAAATTAAATGCGAAATACCATATAAAAGAGTTACATAAATTTTAAATTTCTATAAAAGTTAATAATATTTCATGTAAAGCTCAAATTTATTACGACTCTTACTGAGCTTCACAAAGGAAGTCTTATAACGCAATCTATCATGAAACGTGTTAACGATTGTTAAGAATACCTCTGAAAATACTGTTGTATTTAAACTGAACTTTAAGGTTTTGTGACTGACGAAATGAGCTACGAACGGATAAATTTACCGGTCGTAATTTAACCGCGCGAATTCTGATTTATGAAGTTCCATAACCGTTTCATATAAGTTCGTATTACCACTTTCAGCTTCTTTATGAGAGAAAATCTCGGAGAGGATCGCGTTTTCGCGTCTGACTGCACATGCTCATGAAATATCGCAGCCTGTTTAATGTGGCATAATTACGAGTACGAGTGGGGCTGCTTTATTTACTCCGACTATCACGTATTACGGATGCAATATTTATTAACGCTCTCACTGTAGATTTTATTTATCTCTATCTTTATAAATCCTTTAATTTTGTAAATTTCCATTTATTATGATCTTAATAAATACGCTCGATACTTATAATATTTAATAAATACGAATATAACTCGCTGTTCATTAATAATAGTTATCATCTTTTAATAAAAAATTGTGATTTAACGTAGGATATTCTTATTTATATATTTAGAGAATCTATATAAATATAAATATTACTTTCCCTTCCAGTGAGATTTATAAATATAAATTAATACTAATTTTTTATACACACATATATGTAATATCTTGTTTTATATAATATGCGCCCTTTTTTAATAAAATTTTTGATAAAGCTTTATAATTCAATTAAAACAATTTTTGTAATAAATTAATTATAAAACAAATTTACTTCTATTTCCAATATTTTATTTCAATGACCATTATCTCATCTTAACGTAATGAATGTTTAAAGTTAAGTTACTAATCTTTATAATACGAAGATGTAGACTAGAACAAGAAAGAGAAAACAGAAAAATTGACATAAACACATAACTAGAAATTATTTAAAAAATGTGTACATTAATAGTGAAGTATTAAAAATTGTGCTATGTCATCAATATACAATAAATTATTCATTCGTCATATTGAAAAATATTACTCTGCATCGACAAGAAATTATAATTATGTTCAATAAACATCATTTATTATATTTCTAGCAACACACTCGCATTGTTTATCCCGTGTTCATATCTCATTAATATTATTATCCACAGACAAACAAGGAAAAAAACACTGTGTAATGACATATAAGCATTCTAACAATAAGTCAAAGTAAATATGAATAAAAATAAGTTGAATGTTTTTAGCAGGAGATAAAAGTGAAAAAAATTGTTTGTATGTTATAATTATAAAGCATAAAAATAGTTTCTCATAAACAAAACACTAACTTGAATATCTTTTATCATCACTTTCATTATTATGTGTAGTTATATAACGTAAAATATATACAGCAATTATAATAAAATCAATATTGAATTCGTTATGAAAACATATAAAATCAAAATAACACACCGATAGTATTTTTAATAAAGTGTTTAATATAATTGATCAATACACATATTTCATAACGATTAATACTCACTTTGAAACCTTTGTACCATTCCTTTATAGTGGCTTCATCGTATCGCGTGTGCGACTTGAGGAAGTCCATATCTTCCTTGCTCAACTTGTCTTTGCTCCCAAAACAACCCATTTTGATACCTGCACAATCAATAAAACATTTCATAAGAACAAACGTTCAATAGTAGTGTAAATAAAATAAAATATTTTAGAGACGCGCAAAAAATAATTATTATCAATTTACTCAATTAATCTAATTTCTGAAAATATCAAGTTTTTTTTCTTGTGGCACTTTATTTCCATATTTGGAGAAGTAATTAGGATTCTAGATCTTACATCCTGAGATGTACAAAGTTTCATTCTCAAACTTTTGTACACGTTAGAACAGTGATTTCATCTATTAACGCGATTTTCGCAAGCGTAAGTAAACTTTCGCGATGAGTCTGAATCAATCAGTTAGTCATCGCGTGCAACGCATATTAATATCAGAGAATTTATGCGAGTAGCATATTGAATATACAAGTCAAATCGGAAAATAAATTAGATTTTTAGTTGAAGGCCTTCCAACTTCCCTAATCTCTTATCTCACTCTAGCCTGTTCTATATTTTATCAGAAAAAAAAAAACATTTGCATATCTCATCTCACAATCAGTAGCATACTAGCATATTAAGTATCGATCTTTTCGCAAAACTTTATAAAGACACGCATTGTTATTCATATGAAATATAATAAGTTTATGCAAAGAATATATTTTTAGTATTATTAATAGTTAATATCATAATTTAAGTTAATAGAAGACATTCAAAAAATAAATATAAATGTATATAAAAATATATTAAGTTTTAATTTTATATGTTATTAATTTAATATATTTAATCTATTTAATCGCGTATAAAATCAGTATATACATAAAAATTTATTAAAAAAATTTTTGTTTTAATATGACATTAATAAATAATAAAAAGTCAATATGTTAAATTATTTAATAGTTAATGCATTAGAAATATGGCAATAGAATAAAAATCATCGTAAGAAAATAATTAAAATTCTAAAGTTGTATTCCTTTTGTTAATTCCGTATGTAACGAGTTTTATGTCTCTGAAGAGAATTAATGAGAAAACGTCTTGTTTAACTTTGAAAAAATATTACTTGCGTTAATTACGTCACTAGCGTTTCGCTTGCACGTGAAATGGAATTTTAATGTGCTAATTTTTCCCAGGGGAAAGACAGAATTTTTCAGGCATTTGTAAAAGATTTCTAATTTTTTTTTTTTTAAAAAGCAAAACTAGGTATTAAAACTTCATTTTTGTTCACAATACGCTATACTAGAACGATAAATATACGCGAGGCAGATTTCATGCAAGAGATTTCGCGAAAATATATATAATTGATGCTTCGTGCAGCAATTCTGTGTGTAAGGTGACATGAAACCGAGCGATCTCGATAACAGTCACACGGAAGTTCTCGTTATGTGGCAAGAAGCCGTACGCAATTTTCGTGATGTCATATATTGCGGCACGCACGCATGCACGCAATGCACGTAGTGCACGCAACGCACGCCCATCGATTGCATCCAAGCCGAAACTCGACGTCGCTATATAACTAGGAGGATATCGAAACCAAACGCGTGATTGGAATGACAATGACGTACGCTATACGCATATGTATGCACGTTTCAGAAAGGATAAACGAGTAGAATGTCTTTCAATAACTCTCAAAATTAATCTCTTCTGTGTAATAAAATAAGCCAAAGAATATTTTATCAGAGATTTTATTTACTTTAATAATTTATTTATAAATTATATTTATGTTTATAAATATCTCTCTTTTTCTCCCTCTTTCTTTAAATAATTATTATATTTTTCCAATTTATTAAAAGTATGTATTCTGTACAAAAATTTTACACTTACTTTTTCTATTAGTTTTATAATTATAATATAATTTCATGTTTTTCTTCTCCAGATTTTAGTCAAAGAAAATTTGACTTTAATGTCAAAGGAAGGAAAATGTATCGTCCCTTATAGAGATGGATTCAATATCATAATGTAGAAGTTACCCTTTGCGGGTGGTCTTCGGCCCCATCTCCGACAAAGAGATTTATAATTAAACGCAACTAAAATTACGCAAATGAGCAAATAATTTTAGCCGCATATCTAATTATAAATCCATAGCTAGGTGAAAAATAACTCCAAACGCGATCAAAAACGTATCTGATATCATAACTCGTGTAAAAATTATACCACGTTATTTTCTCTTTACCATCACTTGAAGTAGCTATCGAATTTTCGATAGAAGCTGCACAAATAAAAATTACAAAGAATCGATAGCGCTTTTCTGTGTTCTAAAAGTGCATTAGTAAAATGTTCAACTCCTCGATCGTGTGCCAAGATTTATAAAGGTACAATATCTACATGTACATATTTTATCACTGTCGGATATAATTCGGCGCGAATGCAAATACTGAAAAGGAATGAAGAACGCTAACCGCTTTAATGTCAAAGGTTCAATCTACAGCGAATAGTTATTTAACATGGATGGTTTAAGGAGTTCTCCTCTCTCTTGATAAATGAAGACCGAAACCGTACAAGTAGATAAGAAAACATTCGGCAATTTCGATTCCTCTTCGAAACGCCCGCACAAATACCACCGTGGAATTAATTGCGTTGACACTGACACGTCGCGAATAGTGTCGTAATGGACGACGGTCGATTTGCGGCTGGAATTTTGAGAGACCCACCGGCATTTCCAAGTGTAATAGGCGCGTTTAGGATCGGAGGAAGGAAAGCACGCTCGTGACCGGTTTGGGAACGACACTCATTCGTGATCCATCGAACGGTTTAATGGTTCCCCGGTATAACGTCGCGTTTTGTTCCGAATCGCGAGGCATACTTCCAGGTAGGTATAGCGTCGCTCCGGGAACGTCGTAACGCAAAACACGTAAACGTAATTAACGTCTCCTTTCCATCACGTCTCCGCTGCGGCGCCGTCCGAACGTCGATGAAGTCGCGCTCGCCCGGGCTATTTACGAGATTGAGCGCGCGCAGATGAAGATTAACTGAGGGTTCCGGCGTCACGAGAAACCGTGGCCCGTCGTGTCCGTCGTGTATTATACGTGTTCGTTGTTTCGGGGGAAGATCGTTGATTATTCCACGTGGCGAACTCTCTACAAGCACTCGAGTTAATGCGCCACAGGCTACGTATTTTGCCAGGGGAACTTTAAAGTTCTCGCTCGCGAGAAGAAATTATATGCCCGAAGCCCGCCACCGATGTTCCTCGAGCGAACGCTTGAAACACTCGCTGTTGCTAAGAGAAATTACACGTACATCCGCTGTATATTAATTCCCCGTCGTAGGAAGTTTTCGTTCCTCGAAAGTTTTAACGGCGAGGTGAAACCAACCAGATCCCGCCAGAAAGAATTTATCGGTCGCGTACTAGATGAGGTAGAGAGATTATAGTTGCTAATGCATCTTTTTCTTCTTCTCATTGCTTGATCTTTACAAGAGGGAGCGAGAACTTTGGTAAATGAGTTGAGAAACTTTTGCGTTGGAAAAAAAATTACGCTGCTAATGTCTTCAAGATTCGTAGTTTTCGTCATTTAAATAAAACTATTACCGAAGAATGAAACAAAGACATTTTTACTGTACATTAATTTTGTCGTAATATTGCTTTTCAACAGAAATAAAATAATGATGCTGGAAAGAAGTTAACGCTGGATTTCGAAGATTGGCAGAGAGAAAGAGAGAGAGAGAGAGAGAGAGAGGAAAATTATAATTGCTAATGAACTTGCTTCTTACTTTTATGCTACACTTGCTGCTCGAGAGAATTCCAGCAATTAAATAAAACTCTGTTATTATAGAATTAACATATTTTGTCTCCACAGTTCTATTGCTCTTAGAGGTATCGTTAAGAGCGCGTTTCAACAATTATATTCATCATTTAAGAAAAAATAAGGCTCTAAGGTCAAACGCAATAGTTCTGTTCTCTTTCGTAATGATAATCATTCATTATTACTAGGAAGTCATTCATTAAAATAATAATTCCATTAACTTCTCTATTATGAAGGGGAGTTGATGAAGAGAAAATAGCTCAAGAGTCATTTCTCCAAAGCATTTTAATCTCAAATAAATTTTCATTAAAATTTCATTGAAATGTCTCATAATGCACAAGAGAAAGCAACAATAAAAAAGGTAAAAAATCTGATTTGAAATGAAAAAATTACATCCAAATGTAACTTTATGATTAAAAAAAAATTAATTTCATGCATGACTTTATTTCTCATGATACTACATGTATGTGCATATATGTATATCCATGTTCCGTTTTTAAAATTGTGCACAGAGAGCGACGATATATGTACAACCACAAACGACAATTATTCATAAGGATAGTATTACGAACAATTTCGTCATGCATGAAATTAATTGTTTATACGAGCAGTCGTAAACGAAGTTATTACATTTGGATGTTATTTATTTATCCTAGATTTTTCATCTTAAATTAAATTATTTATTATTATTGTTTCTCTCTCGTGCGTTATAACGCTTCACAAAATTTTAATGAAAATTTATATACACACATATATTCGATATTAATTTCATCGCGAATGTTACCGCGAAACTCGCGAGAGCAACTTGCAATCGTCGGCTGCTCTTCATGAAGCACGTTGCAGTGATCTCTTTTGTGAGTAAAGAGACGTTGCATGAAGCAACCATTACCGCTGTCATCCATAATATATGTGTACACGTGAAAAATGTTTACAGCGTCGCTGACGTAACTATCGCGCGTCTCTTAGCATCGACGGCCATAAAGAATTAACACCGGAACGTCCGGCTGATGCGCATATCGGCAATTGCATTGACATCACATGCATCATATGCGCGTGTTATTGTCGCCATCGGGAAGATACACACGCGACATAAATTCGCGTAAGTGTGTAGAAATGCGCGGAGAAATATGAAAACGCGCGGTAGCCGTCGTGTTTATTATATGAATGCGACTCCCTTTGTTTTTCCCTCGTTGTTCCTCGTGGCTTTATTGTACTCGCATTATCTCCGCTGTCCGCTTTAAACGAAACGTTCCACTCCAATATGCGAGTAAATTAAGCCTATCTCGTATATACACGCTTCTAGCTCCTCTTTTC